CATTGCAACGAAACATGTCACGTTATGATGAAGTTTCACCACATAACTGGACAGTGGACCACAGCAGGCCCGGACTACAGTTTTCCACTCAAAATTGATATAAAACGGCACGGTTGTGACAGTTTGAAACGTTTTAGACCAAGAGACTGAGACTTATGAGTATACGCAACTATGCAAATGTTTTCTAGGCACTTAAAGAGTTTCCAGACAGAGTTAATTAGAGTTAAAATAATACTCATGTGAATAATTAAAAAGGCGTGTATTTGTATGAATGAAAGTAATTTATTAAATGTTTGAAAGTTCGAGTATTCTCCTTGCAAAAAAAATCCATCTGGGGTAGTTGATTTTTAACGTAAATAATACAAAATCAATAAAAAGCTACAACACATCAAGCTTTTTTTAATATTGTGTCTCAAGCACACTTAACTAATATACTTTATGGACTACGAAGTCTCTAACAGTCATCAGTTAGGCACATTACTACAACTATAGAATTCAGAATAGTTAAAGGGCAATGCCATATCCCTCTCAATTGCGTCCGCTCATAACAAAAACACGGGCGCACAAGTTGTCCAACAATCAACACCTAAAATACTAATCTAATAAAAAACGTATTCAAAAAACAGAAACAAATGAACCAAAATAGATCGCCTTGCTCTCCGCCTAGTCGAAATGGCTTGCCAAACTAGGGGGAAAGTGAGATACCGAGGACAGTTGCAAGCCGTGACCGCGCTGCTCGATCCAATCGCATTCGGGTATATAATCGAATTACACTGTGGAATAATCGATACGAGTATTTAAAGTTAGCATGCACGAAATATGCCTCGGTAATAGTAAGTCAGTGTTAGTTCACAAGGTGGATGCAAAAATATAGAGCTAGGTTAAAAGATTGTTCAGCAATAAATACTTATGCTTGTGTAGTTCCATTAATTTTATCAATCTGCTTCAAATCTAATTAAAACAAAGTCGTAGAATGATATTGGCACTGAATTGACTACTGAGTTATGTAAGCATCTATTACAAAACAAAAATATTAATTAAAATCACTCAGACAGTTCAGTTTCTGTTTCAAAATATTTTTGATTGTAGATAATTTATAAAATCACTAAAGTTTATTGACATGGCGTATGATGTAGCGCAGTTACCGACACTGTGCTAACAGTCACTATTAGGACAGCAAATAGACCAGACAATCGTCAAATATTGTGAGCAAAACGAATGAAACCGATTGCCTGAATGCAATAGAGCAGTTCAAATTGTTTCAGGGAATATGCCTCTATTTGTTTTGTCATTTAGTATTCACTTTTGTTATGAAATATGAATACAGTTGCTGTCGCTGATAACGTTAATAATTAACTTGTCAACTCGTTTTTCTTCTTTCTTATCAACGTCAAAAACCCCGACAAAAATTGCGATCATAATCTCTCTAGGTATTCCTTGAACAGTATTGGGTACAAAAAGGGCATCCCTTGATATAGTTTCACGTTCCCACCGCCCCACTATGGAGCGAAATTGAGATTTATGGACATAGCGATTTTTTTCACAATTTCTATTTGAAAAAAATACCTATTGATAGGTTACGTTATTCTGATGAATAAATGCTGCACAAGTTTTTCTCTAAAACCAATAGTTTGACTGGAAAAAAATATTTTCCATTTTCGTTGTATGGAATGAAACATAAAGTGGTCGATTTCGACTAAGCCTTGACAGATCTTGCTTTGAAACTACTTGAGCCTTGTTCTATGGCTTATTGACGGTAATCCTACGCTATCAGCGCGCATCCAAAGTTGCCCGTTCACAAGTTATGAGGTTCTGAAAAATTAAAAAAAAGTAAGTAAAAGTGACTTTTTTTTGGAATATCTTTAAAGATTTAACAAAAATATAAAGATTTTATACGTTAATAATGTAAATTAACCTTAAATTACTGCTAAAAACACATTTTAATAAACTTAAAAGGAATTAAATCAGCGATTTTTTTTTCACAATTTCTGTTTAAAAAAAATACCTGTCGATAGGGTATGTTATTTTGATGAATAAATATTACGAACGTTTTTCTCTAAAACCAATAGTTTGGCTGGAAAAAAATATTTTCCATTTTCGTTGTATGGAATGAAACATAAAGTGGTCGATTTCGACTAAGCCTTGACAGATCTTGCTTTGAAACTACTTGAGCCTTGTTCTATGGCTTGTTGACTGTAATCCTACGCTATCAGCGCGCATCCAAAGTTGCCCGTTCACAAGTTATGAGGTTCTGAAAAATTAAAAAAAAGTAAGTAAAAGTGACTTTTTTTTGGAATATCTTTAAAGATTTAACAAAAATATAAAGATTTTATACGTTAATAATGTAAATTAACCTTAAATTACTGCTAAAAACACATTTTAATAAACTTAAAAGGAATTAAATCAGCGATTTTTTTTTCACAATTTCTGTTTAAAAAAAATACCTGTCGATAGGGTATGTTATTCTGATGAATAAATATTATGAACGTTTTTCTCTAAAACCAATAGTTTGGCTGGAAAAAAATATTTTCCATTTTCGTTGTATGGAATGAAACATAAAGTGGTCGATTTCGACTAAGCCTTGACAGATTTTGCTTTGAAACTACTTGAGCCTTGTTCTATGGCTTGTTGACTATAATCCTACACTAACAGCGCGCGCCCAAAGTTGCCCGTTCAGAAGTTATGAGGTTCCGAAAAATGAAAATTAAAGTAAGTAAAATTGACTTTTCTTTAGATAAGACGACAAGAGAAAGGTTAATTACATTACTAAAGTATATAATTTTCATGTTTTAGTTGAATCTTTAAAGATTTATACCCAAAAAAAGATACTTTTACTTACTTTAATTTTCATTTTTTGGAACCTCATAACTTCTGAACGGGCAACTTTGGGCGCGCGCTGTTTTTGCAGGATTATAGTCAACAAGCCATAGAACAAGGCTCAAGTAGTTTCAAAGCAAAATCTGTCAAGGCTTAGTCGAAATCGACCACTTTATGTTTCATTCCATACAACGAAAATGGAAAATATTTTTTTCCAGTCAAACTATTGGTTTTAGAGAAAAACTTGTGCAGCATTTATTCATCAGAATAACGTAACCTATCGATAGGTATTTTTTTCAAATAGAAATTGTGAAAAAAATCGCTATGTCCATAAATCGCAATTTCGCTCCATAGTGCGCCCACTTCATAGAGACGATTAAATGTAATTTTACAGTAGCTTGCCTATTCCATCAAGCCATTTAGGTTACAGATGGTCACTATGACCCAAACTAGAATACGTCCAAACGAAATACATTATACAGAATGAAAACAATAAGTGATCTCACTCGATTATTTCTAAACTATACACGATACTTATTGAAAAACTGTTTTCTGATCCTGAATGTGCTTTACTTATAGTTTCCACCCTGTAAATTTACGTTCAGCAGACAGATACAATAATTTAATATCATCAAGCCCAAAACTTGTCTCTAAAGTTTATTAACTATTTTTGTGTACCTTTTTAGAACGTAAATATTAGGTTAGATAAAAACTGTTGGACAAAATTGGCTTTCATTTAGTTCCGCCGTACTCGGTAATCGCATAATCGAATCAACGCGACACGGATTCAGCGGTTCAAACAAACACTCCATTCAATACAAATAGCGACCACAATGGTCACGTAGCTATTTGTATATTAACCTAAAATAAAAGATTCATTTATTTATTTATTAAAATCTTTATTGCACACAAAAATTGCGATACAAAAGGCGAACTTAATCCCGTGAACGTAAACGAAATGTTTTCTGCACTTGTCTACCACTTTGTTATGAACCCATACATAATACATGGAATGTATATTATTTCAATGATTTTTTAACACGTTCTTCACATAAGAATACAAAATAAGCTAGAACACATCAATGAATAAAAGCTTTTTTAATAATTCAACAGATCAACCGTGCTTTCCATTCAACTGCCCTCCAAAGAATTTCTTCTCATCTTTTCTCACGCCTTTTACTTAATTTCATACTACCAGACGTGATGTCAGATGTAAGGTTTCTTAATGTCGTAGGTATTGTCCAACTACAACGAACCGTCCCATCAGTGACATTGATAGGGGGGCGCCATCCACCGTCAATACCGGAATTTCGAGTTCTAATAAGTGATACATTATCTTACGTAAATAGTGCTAGCGACGCGTGTGGCCATAAATTACCAATTTTGGGATGAAATTTTGAGAAACTTTATTTAACTTTTTTTTTTGCATAAATAGTCCAGTCATTATAGTAAGTTCACCTCGGAATTCGAGATACCCAGCTGTAAGTCTGTAAATACTTGTATATTGACACCCTGAAGTCATTACCCAAATTTTTTTTTTTGGTGATCAAAATGTAGTGGTGTATAGTTGAACGATGGTGGATGGCGCCTCGCTGTCAATGAGTTTGGTGGGACAGTTCAGTGTAGTCCCATCTATATGACATCCTACTAAGATCTCCAACACTGAACTGTCCCAGCTATGACATTGTCAGGAGGGCGCTACTATCAATACTTACTGGGGTGTCAGTTTTAGATTTTTGCAACTTGACGTTTCAGAGTCGTTTAGGTACTACAGTTATTGGTCTAGTGAGTAACGTTATGCAATGAACTGCTCTAGACTATAGAGCTTAATGACGCCGACTTAACTTGCGAGTGTAACGTTTTACGACCGTAAAACTACCGTATGTATTTACATAACTTCTTATGACACTCTTTAGTTAAGTAGTTCATAATTTACGCACATAAAAGCACATTTTGTTGTCACCGTATGAATTGACACATAAAACTGTAAATGTAGTATTTTGCAAACTTGTCCTACACCCTGCAAAAAATAGTATCAATTTTAAATGGACACTGAGCTTTATAATTTTACTTAGGTACTTAACAGAATACTTTGCTGATATGATGACAGGAACTACAAATATTATTAAGCTTTAACTGTGTAATTTGCAAACCATTTCTAATGTTATTTATTTTTGTTTCAGGGAAATCTATTCACATGTCCAAATGGTAAGTAATTTACTTCTCACATTATTACGTGATAGTTCGTAGAGCTTTTTCAGACGATGTGAAAAAGTAGTGTATATCACCATAATAGAACAGAAACGTCGTGCTGTATTTCCATTACTAGCGGCCGCCCGCGACTTCATACGCGTGGATCCCGTTTTACCCCCTTAGGGGTGGAGTTTCGTAAAATCCTTTCTAAGCGGATGCCTACGTCATAATATCTACCTTCAAATTTCAGCCCGATCCGTCCAGTGATTTGGGCTGTGCGTTGATAGATCACTATGTCAGTCAGTCACCTTTGAGTTTTATATACATATATAGAAATCGAGCTTTATACTATAGATTTCTGAAAATTAGGTTTCGAGAGGTAAGGCAAGAGCAGATACGCGCAGACAGAACCTATCGCGATCGCGAACATATATTTCTGTCATAGTGCGCAATACAATAACCGCGATTTATCAAACTTCAAATTATACTATAATTAGCTTAACCCCAGTGTGGGCAACACTTTGACATCGCGTTCTATATGTATAGAGTCGACAGCACATTATATTCTACAGTTTAGCTTGATGTGACGTCGTCTGTCTGTACAAACAAACCAGCTGGAACAAAGCCTGATGAAAGACTTATGGCGCAATGCAGCTTCTCAAAGTTAACGCCTACACAGATTAAGCAATGCCACATGTTAATTCATCACGTCGTTAACGAAATATTCTTTTGAGTCCAAACTGTGAGACAAAAACATTTAAAAGGGCATAATTAATTTTAAGAAAAGCACTTGTCACTTGCCACGCGATAGCCGTAATTGCAGCTGCTATGAGAATGAACATGACAATAAGGCTAGGTTTCACCATCTTATTTTAACTTTGACAAACGTCAAAAATCTGTCAAGCTCCATACAAAAAACACCGGTTAACGTTATAGTTAAACTAAGATGGTGCAACTTAGCCCTAAAACTATGCGATTACAGTTACATTGTGTGTTTAGATCCTTTCGTTAGATTTTTTGTGTCTTTCGGCGCTTATTGAAGAAAAGATTATTTTTCAGACTAAACTAGATTACCAATAATTTCTTCTGCACGCATCAGCAAACTCGAAGAACATTAGCAACAAATCACTGTGCTTATGCACTGGTTGCGAGTATTGACATAGAATAGAGATAACTACAATATGAACGTAAGTACTTATTTAAGTAGGTAATACTTACTTCACGGATGCATTCAAGGTCATTAGGAAATCGGATCATGAAGATACTGATGCAAGAAGAATTATTTTTTGAGACTGAATACAAATTCAAAGAAAATTCTCAGTGACCAATACACATACCTCAATGATTTTAAAAGAGTTGAAATCTTTATGATAAATGCTCTACCTTTTTGATTGATATGTATAATGTAAAATTATTACCGGCGTTTCCTTTTTATCTTATAATGCATTAAGAAAGTATAAACTAATATATTGTTACTTGAATAACAATCCTCTCTACCTGTGTTAAATATCTTAATTAATACAGCGCATAGTTTGTCCGCCCTCAAACGCCCCAAACAACTTTGTTGAATGTTCTTCATTAGAAGTTGACTTTGATGATATTATTGTCGGTGTCTATATTGAAATTTCTTACAATAAATCAGCTAAAAGCAAGTTCAAGGACCTGCCAGTCTCGTTTGATAAATATTAATGTACCTTCTCTGAAATCGGTCTGGACGCTTAAACCTGTAAAGGGACGTCTCAGTATAAATCTGCTTATGAAATGAATTCTAAATGAGTTACAAGTTTCAATTTTAAAATGCAGTGAGAGTTATAACAGCAACATACAACCACTTTGGAGTTAAAAGACATGAAGTATGAAGTGTTAGGGTAATTCGCCTGGAACTACGGTTTTGGTTTTAAAACTAAACAAACATAAACTTAAACGTCTGTTTTATCATTTTTTGGCTTTAGTTATATTCTTCATGCTTTACCTAATATCTATATTCTAGATGAAATTGTTGTCTTTTTACAGTCAATTAAGAAAATAATCATTCATAAATCCAAGCAATAGGGTTAAGCTTACTTAATTATTTACTTAAACGTAGAAAAGGTGTTTCCGAACAAATAATTTTGTAATTAACTTTAAAATTTATCGTAAAACCGTTACGAGTGCGCATAAGGTTGAATTTATCGTTTTTAATAATGTTACGTGTTAAAATTTACGGTCTCAATTACAGTTTTTATCAATAAAATTATCATGTAGGATTTAATTTTGTGAAAGAAGCGGCAATTTGGGTGATGGGGATATTATAATCGCAACCCGCTAGTTGCCATCAGGAACAGACGGCACCTCCAATTTGTCATTTTAATTATTACAGCCAACGAACGCACGCGGCTTTACTCGTGCGGATTATCTTTTGGCATCCCACAGCCATATTTCAACATAAAAGTTTAACTTTTGAAAATATTGAGCCAACTTATTGATAAAAAGAGGTGTGATAGTAAATTATTAATTGATTTTATAGCTGGCACATAAGACTTCTGAAACATTACACAAAAAAAAAACAAATTAATAAAAAATTGCTATGATTCTAAATTCAAACTATATAAAACAGGCAATTGTTTTCATTTTCCTTTCGCCTCTTCGATTCCATTTCTCTGCATCGCAGTACCACACTTGAATTAAGGCCAGTGCTGAGGGTTCATATTCGTCTACCACCTAATTAAGGCTAGGAAATTGGCCTCAGACGAGCAGTTGACACAGGCCCCGTCGGGGTGATCACAATCTCGAGTAGTTCGATCGCTCGATGTGTCGAAGTCCCACATAAGTCTACCTGATTAATCGAACAACTAGTAGGCGGGAGGCTATATGATGTCAAGGTAATGCAATCTATATTACCTACTATCATGTGGAGAATCTTTAAATTTATTATTACGACATTGTTTCATGTTGGTGACTGAAAAATCTTTAGATGTGTAATTTTTAAATAGGATGGCCAAATGAGTCAAGTTTCAGTACAATCTCTTAAACCATTACCTAATTTTCCCCTTACTATCATATTCAACAGTATTTGTACAATTCATCCATTCAATAAGCGCATGTCTCTAGTTCTCGCATTCCTGCTAAATTATTTGGGCACGCTTGCTCGCAGCATCAATTCTGGGCGTCTATTCCTCAACTCGCTATCTGTTTTCTCGGCTCTGTCTTTCTCACTTGCTATAGGATTATAACGTTGGCGATAGAGACGAATATAGTCGAATGAAGGGTAGATAGTGTTGTGGAGTAGACCCCCTAGACGCGCGCCAAGACGGATTGAGTCAATTCTAAGTTGGAATTAACACGAGTGACTTGTGAGGCTGCGTTACCACCTCCGCTAACGAACAGCTTAATCTATGTTGCAAGCTCCCGTTCTGTGCTAGGATATTAGATTTTAGTGAATTATGTCTTCTATCCCAACTAGTCCCAACTATGCGAAAGTAACTCTGTCTGTCTGTCTGTCTGTCTGTCTGTCTGTCTGTCTGTTACGCTTTCCCGCTTAAACCTCGCAACCGATTTTGATGAAATTTGGCATAGAGATAGTTTGAGTCCCGGGAAAGAACATAGGATAGTTTTTATCCCGGTTTTTGAAACAGGGACGCGCGCGATAAAGTTTTTCTGTGACAGACAAAATTCCACGCGGGCGAAGCCGCGGGCGGAAAGCTAGTGATTGTATATTTATACCAAATTCCCATTCTCAGTTTTAATATGAAACTCTTCTTAGCATTTTGCTTGAGGCACAATCCTGTTTAAAATGCGATAATAGTGAAGGGCATTCTTTTTTCTTAACTGTCAACATCAGTCACTTTTATCCATAAAATTATAATTTATAGCCTCTTAAGAATCTTTGTAAAAAGTTATTTTATGTCTCTACAAATGTATTAAAATTAATAGGCAAATTAAAGTCTAAGATAAGATTGCTTCCACGGTACTTTTGAAACTTAAGCAACATAGCTAACTAAGACTAAATATCTATTGTGAAAGTCGTTGAAAATTTAATAATTCCGCAGTTCCACGAGCTCGGGTATAGCGGTAAACATACGAAAACTAATATACAGAATGAACATGAATGGCTGAAGTTGGCGACAGTAGCTAAGAATTTCAGATGTTTCTGTGAATAAATAAAAATATCTTCTTAGTAATTTTCTTCTTAGTTATGCTTCAAAATTCAAAGGGACAAAAAATTCATTAATAATAAAACTATTTCTTTATGAATAAAGGTTCAAGTTGGCAACAAACCCAACTATTAAATGTATATAGTACCTATGTGCGAAGGAAGGTAAGGAAGGAAGTAAAGTATTGATGGTGAATGAAGGAAGAGTCCACGCCATAAAATTATTTCTATTATGTTTATCTATGTGAAAATTCAAGCTTGGTAAAATTGGTGCTACTCAAAACGTCACTTAGTATATTATATTTATGTTGTGTTCCACATGATTCATCGACATTTTCTAAGAGTAGCAGAATCGAATGTGATTATTTAATTAAGTAAATTAACATAGGATCTTCGTTGTGTTCAAAACTGTCATTGACAAGGCAACGCGGCAACGGCCTTGTGAAACGTCTCGCCCACATTTCTCCGACAACGTTGCGACATCATCACATAAGTAATTAGGCACAAACTGTAATCCATTCAAGTCTAGCCCGTCAGTCAATCGTGCAGTATGTCTGCGGTAGATGTCGATTTAGCTCCATCTGCCACTGTTCTGCATACTGATTGTGTCTTAAATTGACTGCGTTTCCATTGATGCAGGCGTTTGTAAACGACTTTAAAAGAAAACACCGTAAGTGCCTTTTTCCTGTGATGAGGATTTCGGCACGCGCGGATGGTCCGCATGCGGATTGCCCACATTTCATTTGTATTTTCATACATGGTTTTACCAGAGTAAATACAAATGAGTAGGTCATCTTCATAGAAACGCCCGAGCGCGGTTTGTATGTGAGCGCGCCAATACGTATGTGGCGCGCACGCACACACTGACAAAATTTAGCGTGGA